CTTATAATATGGCGACCCATTGGATTCGCTAATGAAGAGGAAAGATACTGTGGACAAAATTAGGACTGCTGTACATGGGAGGATCTCTTGGTGGCCGACTGTATGCGTCGCCATTTTTTTGTTATGATTTCTTGTGAGATTCTTCTGACTAATTTTATATGTCGACCCATCACGCCACTTGGACATCACACCACGCTATCACGTGATGCTTCACTTGAAAGAAAAAAAACGTTTGAGGACACTTTGTAATTGTTGTAGAATTCTTTAGTAGCTTTAACACACTGTTTAACAGGCACGGACAAACAAGCAAATTTCCCTGGTCACTGTACTTAGCAACTAAGTGCTAATAGAGAGAAGTCGTTTACGTCACGTTGCTACGGTAGCAAAATTTCCGGGTGAGAACAACCCGAAAATGTCACTTTTTAAAAAAGTGAATTCGGACCACAGGGTACCCACGCAAATTGTGTTACCGTTGTAATGTTTAGAGGAAATGTATGGTGATATCGAAAAGGTTCATATTATCGAAATATAATACGATGAATTCTTATACATAAGACCGGTTTCAACCCCTTATGAGTTTCTGATAAGACCAAACTGAACATCTTTTTACGTGAAATGCTGCGTATTGCCGTTCTTGCAGCTGGAAACGACGAATTATAGCGATGTAAAGAGTTTGACATTTGATATTCACCTGAGCGTATCGTAGACAGACCTTTTTGGTCTAATATGTAAGAATTCGTCGTATTATGTTATGATAATAAAAATCTTTTCGATATCACGATACATTTCCTCAGGGGCACCCAACGTCAATTTTTGGAAAATATCTGTTCGGAAGACGATTTGACATCTAGAATTTTCGGAACGTTTGTTGTAAAATTTCTTGGTTGCCTGCCTCTCCTAGGATTTTCGAACATCTAAAAAAATGGTATAATTGCCCATTTTTAACGGACTTTTACCCTAAAAAGGTCACCTAGAATTTTCGGAAGCCTTTTTTCTGGCTGAAATTTTTGAGAAGGTAAGTTTTGATCCCTATTGTTTTCGGATCACTAGACTTTCAGCTGGATAAAAATATGCCTATATCTACCGTTTAAATACTAGAATACGTTCTACAATGCTATATTTAAGTGGTTTTGAACTATAGTCTCGTTCGGTGCCCCTGATTTCCTCTAAATCCAAGCATCATAACGGTCACACAGTTTGTGTGGGCCTCCTGGGTTCGCACAGTTTCGACATTGTTTCAAACTTTATCGATCTTATTCTATTTCATTTAATTTGTCTTATGTTGGCGGAATTTTCTGGGGTTGAATCCGAAAGCACCGTATTTAAGTTTAGAAGAAGAAAAAGGAAAAGACCATTTTTTTGATGCGCTCATGCACGTTCTCCATAAAGCGGGCGCGTGAAATTAGGAAGTTTCATGTCGCAGTCATTTTTTTTAAATGAGACTTTGTGCAAGTATTGCTTCTCAATGTCGAGGGACAAAATACTTTTTGTCATAAAACTTCAAAAACTTAAAAAGCAACAAGATACTCCTAACTTTGGTTCTGCCATCCTTCACAAAGAAATGAACACAGCAAAATGTGGGAAACTCATCCTAATGGCTACTGGTTGTTTTCTAAGATGGCGGCCTTCTTATCACTCATTCCCTGGTCCTCCATTTTCCAAGATGCCGGCTGAGTCAAATTTCCCACCCTGGGGACATTCAGGATGTCAAATTCCTTACCCACGTACGTTTCAATTCCCTTGTGTTGCCCCCGCCTCCTCCCCCATCCTGGGGCAAACAATTGATAGGTGCATAGGTACGGAGCGCGCGCGGGAAAACGGTGTAGCCGTCGTCATTCCACTACGGGTTTTATCATTTTGTGTTTGGGAGAGGGCTTAACTTCCTTCAATAAAAATAACCGCAATAACGTTTGTGGTGAAAAAAAGAATGAATGAATAGGATACCTCAAATTCTTAATTCTAGTTTGTAGTAAATTATGTAGCCTGGCCTGCCTCGAATAGCGTCGCTAACTGCAGGCCAGTCCCAATGTATCTTTTGTCATATTTCCAAAATTTAAACAAAGTTGAAGTTGAAAGTTGAAAGAACAATAAAGCTTTCTGGGGTGATGGTATTTTTTGAGAATACGCGAAAAAACTTTGTCCTCTAGGGGTCATCGTAAACGAATCGACAGGTGTTAAGTCAGTTCATAGGACTGACAGTGTGAATTGTCATGGCTAAGATTACTTGGTCTTACCGCACTCAAAATCAGTATAAATCTTTGCTTTTAGTTTAAGTACGGTACAAGCGAGAGCACTGATCTGTCTCAACAATATAGTGACAGCCTTAGACGCTGATCTACTAGGAGGAGAGGTGGCACTTGGACAGTTGTGGTGTTCGCTGTTCACTCTAGCTTTTGCCGCTGAAAGTAAGTGGAAATGTTTTGTACTAATTCTTTACAATGGACCCTTCCACTTTTTTTTAACGTTTGGTGGAATCTAGTCAGGGAATATTCATCGATAC